TGGCACCTTCTTTCCAGAGCGCTCGGCGTCCCTTCTGGCCTGCTGCAGCTCCTTGGCCTTCCTCCTCATCTCAGCCTTGGCCTCACGTTCTTGGGTCTGCGGGTGTTCAAAGACTTGTTTTGCAACTGTGGCATCACCATAAATAGGTTTGTATACATCAGAGAACAACATCTAAAACTGCATGAATTATTTCATTACCTTTATTGCCGGTCTATAGAGAGCACCCGAATGTGAGCCGTGCACACGAAATAACGAAAAAGAACAATTTTGCACTTTTTTTTTCCATTTACCCATTCATTTATCCAGGTAGTCTCACTGAGTCATGAGAACTCATTTTCAACAGAGACCTGTTTAGGGAACAGATGATGGGGGTTAAGGACCTCGCTCAGGGGCCCAGAGTGGGGCGAATGAGGGTGGAAGCAGGTGAGGATGTTTCACCTTTTCCACCCACATTTTGATGTTGACGGTACCGGAAATTGAACCTGCGACTTTCCGATCACAGGCCCATCTTCTAACCTCTGCGCCACCACTCCCCCACAAGAGTATAAGCTGCAGGTGTGCACGTTGTAACATGACAGGCTAGTGAGAGATGTGCAGCTCGGGTTGTAGATCAACAATCAACACACCAGATGCCACAGGTCGTCATGACAACAACCTCCTCACTCATGGTTACTCTACTGAATGGGCTAACACAGGGGTTCCCAAACTTTTCCATGCAATGGCCCCCAAACAGCATTAGCTTCTGGCCGAGGCCCCCCTCGCAAACCCACAAACAATATTATAAAATATGTAAAGAAACATCAACTTTTACAATGTTTTAACTTTTATTCACTACATTCTATTAATTATTACAGCTGCTGAGCATCAAAATGTTATTCACTAACATGTTTTAAACACTGAATTACCACTGGGGAAAAACTAAAAAACTTTTCAACAAACAGTTGACCAAAAGAACCAAACAACAGAAATCTAACCTCTCTTTCTCTCAAGCGTGTTTATCTGGAAATGACAGATACTGATTGCTCTAGTGTGCAATTTTTATCATCATTACTTTTTTATTTTGCTTTTTTTTTTATCTTCTTCTCTCCAGCTTTCTGTGGCCACCCTTGCATGCCCAGACAGCCCCCACTTTGAAAATCACTGGCCTAGGGCTGGGCCATATCATATCATTCACGATAATACCGGTAAAAAAAAGCTTGCCAGGGCAAAAAAAAGATGATATGATATGATAATTTCATGACGTAATACGTCAGGGCGCCCGCCCCTTTAACAAAACAGAGTGCGACAAACGACCAAACCGAATTGTGCCCCCCCCCCCCCCCTCCACCTGTCAGTACTGGCGTAACACTAATTAGTTGCGCGCAATAGTAGCTAGCTAAAAAGCTAAAAACAAACAACGTGCTGCTCAGCTGTCTCTATCCAGCTCTAAACTGCAGGTACAAAACACGCGCAGCTAAACTGTCTCTTAGTTCCACAGTCCATGGAGCCCGAACAGAGTCAGGTGATCAAAGTCAGGTGATCAAAGTCAGGTGATCAAAGTCAGGTGATCAGAGACAGAGCATCAGAGAAATTAATCATTCCTGCAGGAACAGATGAAGCTGAAACACCACAAGCTTCAGGGTCAGCTGATCAACTTGTTCTGGAAGTTATAGCTAATTTAAAAACATTTTCTTGTATGTTACATTTATGATCAATAGATCTTAAGCTTCATTTTATTTTATTTAGTTGTTTTGAGAAACTTCACCTGCACTTTAGTTTTTGTGGTGGATTTATTGAACTATATTTTGTGCAGACTTTTTCAATCTAAATAACAGAAGGATCATTTTTATTTTACAAACTGGATTCCAAAAAAGTTGGGACACTAAACAAATTGTGAATAAAAACTGAATGCAATGATGTGGAGATGGCGAATGTCAATATTTTATTCGTAATATAACAGATAACAGATCAAAAGTTTAATCTGAATAAATGTAACATATTAAATGACTATGTTGACTCAAAATTTCACAGTGTCAACAAATCCCAAAAAAGTTGGGACAAGTAGCAATCAGTGGCTGGAAAAAGGAAATTGAGCATATAACGAACAGCTGGAAGACCAATTAACACTAATTAGGTAAATTGACAACAGATTGGGTATAAAAAGAGCTTCTCAGAGTGTCAGTGTCTCTCAGAAGCCAAGATGGTAAGAGGATCCCCAATTCCACCATTGTTGTGCAGAAAGATAGTGCAACAATACCAGAATGGTGTTACCCAGCGTAAAATAGCAAAGACTTTTAAGTTATCATCATCAACCATGCATAACATCATCAAAAGATTCAGAGAATCTGGAACAATCGCTGTGCGTAAGGGTCAAGGCTGTAAAACTCTCCTGGATGCTCGTGATCTCCGGGCTCTTAAACGTCACTGCACCTCAAACAGGAATGCCACTGTCAAGGAAATAACAGAATGGGCTCAGGAATACTTCCAGAAAGCATTGTCAGTGAACACAATCCACCGTGCCATCCGCCGTTGCCAGCTGAAACTCTACAGTGCAAAGAGGAAGCCATTTCTAAGCAAGCTCCACAAGCTCAGACGTTTGCACTGGGCCAGGGGTCATTTAAAATGGAGTGTGGCAAAATGGAAGACTGTTCTGTGGTCAGATGAGTCACGATTTGAAGTTCTTTATGGAACACTGGGACGCCATGTCATCCGGACCAGAGAGGACAAGGATAGCCCAAGTTGTTATCAACGCTCCGTTCAGAAGCCTGCATCACTGATGGTATGGGGTTGCATGAGCGCTTGTGGCATGGGCAGCTTGCATGTCTGGAAAGGCACCATTAATGCAGAGAACTATGTTCAGGTTCTAGAACAACATATGCTCCCATCTAGACGTCATCTCTTTCAGGGAAGACCCTGCATTTTTCAACACGATAATGCCAGACCACATTCTGCAGCAATCACAACATCATGGCTACGTAGGAGAAGGATCCGGGTAGTGAAATGGCCAGCCTGCAGTCCAGATCTTTCATCTATAGAGAACATTTGGTGCATCATAAAGAGGAAGGTGCGACAAAGAAGGCCCAAGACGATTGAACAGTTAGAGGCCTGTATTAGACATGAATGGGAGAGCATTCCTATTTCTAAACT